AAATTTGATGCCACCCAAAACCCAACTAAGAAATAACAACCGCAAGCGCTTGAGGTCGTAACCCGGTGATGAGGTTGAGGATCACTCACCGATAACATCCGAGTTTGAATCTTTCCGTGCATATCTGTCACCCCTGCAGTGTCTTATCTATCCACTCGGGCTTATAAGGTATTCGGTGGGCTCATGGATTAATCGAGGTACGCACAAACTAATCCGGACACCTCGAGTTATAAAAAAAAAAAAAAAAAAGAAAGAAATCACAACCACAATGAAAACAGTGATAAATCACTGTTATCACTGTTTTCATTGTGGTTGTGATTTCTTAGTTGGTTTAAATATATCCTGGTGACGTTCTCATCCCCCATTTATTTATTTATTTCTGACCTTTTAATTGAGGGTTTGTTTTCATTTTTTTTTGTTTCTAATTGAGAGCCAGTCGTCCACTTTGCAATTTCGTTTGATTTAATTCATCAAATCATATCATGCAATAATAGAAAGAAAAAGGACATAGTATAAATACTATATACTTTTATTAGCCTTTTTTTAGGGGGTTAAAATACACCATTTGTTTGTGGATTATAATTTTATAATCCTATATTAATAACCTTTCATGCGTTCACTCTGTTAAGAAAGAGATAGTTTGCAAGTTCATTAATTCCAAAAATTGATAAATTTAAAATAGTTAGAAAAAGTAGTTATCTAATTAATAAAAGAACTTTTTTAAATAATATTTTTCAAGATGATTATCAATTTTATTTGCCTTTACCCTTGATCATTTAATTCTGTATTATATGTTTAAAAAATATGTTCGCTTCTAATAATAGCACTAGCAATAGTAATATCAATAAGAAATAATGGACATATATAGATTTCTAAAATAATTTAGATTATTATCATAATATATTTAAGATAATCATGTATAATAAAAAAGGATAACATTTGCTTCGATTTATTATTAATTATCATAATATATTAATAAATTGGCAGTAATATTTTTTAAGGGGTGAAATAATTAGAAATTTTTTTTTTTTGGGATAAGATTTACTATTTTTTAGAGAAATCTTATAAAAATTCTAACATGTCGTACCTAATTATTTAAAGTAAAACAATTGATATGGTATAGTGTTGAGTTTACATTTATTGACGAGTAAATAACGGTTAATTAGAAATTTAATCCAAATGGATCCAGTATTTGGATTTTCAATAAAAATAGCGTATTAAGAAAAATATAGTTGATCATGTATTCTTTTTTCAAATTGATCAATACTTGTTATTTATTTATTTTTGTAACACTTTTTTTTTTTTAAAAAAAAAGGTACATGGTACAAAAGGCTTTTCCACAGGTTTAGAACTTAGGCTAGGCCTTGACAACAAATCTGTTGGGCTTTGCATTAGGGTTCTGTTATTTAGCCCACTTAAGGGCTTTCTCAAATTGAAGATCAACACTTTTACGCTGTGAACAGAACAAGGCATAGGCCTGTAAGAAATAAAAAACCCTAATCGAAGACTCTAAAAGGTAGCTTTCTCTTCTATTTTCACATATGGGCAATAGAGTCTTGCCGCATACAGTCACATTTCCTTGAAGCGCACGTCGACGAGGATACTTGCATGATTGTAATAACTGATGGATTGCAAACTCGGCAAGAATTAATGCCACCAAAGAAGCACTCTAGCATTTAAAAGATCTTGATAGATAACCCTATAGCCGATTAGCTCATACAGTCGCTTGTCACGAAGACTCCAATAAGGAGGCTGAGGACGGTGGCTATTGATGCCAAAAAGGTAGGTTCCATTGTACTGTTTCTCAGGAACAATAACATTCTTGGAGACGGCTTGCACCAATGTGATGACTACACCACAGCCAAATTAAATTCCTAATGGTTGGTGCTTAAATCTTGAAAAAGAGAAACAATAAATAAAATTAAGAAATGAATAGAAACATAATGTAATGCCTCCATCATGGCTCGAACAGGTCAAAAGCCGTGATTAATGCAAATGACAGGCTTGGTGGAGTGCTTTATAATCCAGTTAAATTTTATTCGAAGCGTAATAAAAGATTAGTCTAGAATCTATTTATTTTTTTGTCGCGGATAAATTAATATCGTTATTTTTTAACGCAAATAAACTAATACCGTTGATTCAAGAATTTGCAACGGCTTCTTTTCCGTTCAAAACTTTATTTATAAATAGGAAAATAGAGTTCCCATCCAATTCATATCCTTATCAACTAAGATATATATAAACTCTTTTATAATTTTTAGGATAACTATGCACTGCTATTATATAACATTTAAAATCCCTTATATGTTTTTAAGTTTTTAGTTGTATTTTATTTATTTTTAAAAATATTTAAAATATTTAATATGTTTTTTATCAATTTTTTTTTGAATATATATATATATTATGTAATGCTCTTAATTAAAAAAAAATAAGTACTTCAAAAATAAAATATGCAATTCATATGACTTTAAATGTTTTTTTTTGTTTATTTTGCATTTTAGTAAAAGGCAATTCAGTAAAAAATAATAATTTATATTCGAAAAAATTGATCGAAATGATAAATTAAACATTTCAATTTTTTTTTTGAAAATAAATGCAATGCAATTAATAATCTCAAGATAGATATAAGATTTTAAGTATCATACAAAAATATATGAGTATATTTATCAGAATTCTTATGGAAAGTCCAAGGATGTATTCAAACTTTTTTTTTCCTTACAATGCTTATCAAAAGTCTATCTTATGAAATGATAATGTAAATTTATTAATAGATAAAAGATTTTAAGTATCATATAAAAATATATGAGTATATTTATCGGAATTTTTATAGAAAGTCTAAGGATGTATTCAAACTTTTTTTTTTTTTACAATGCTTATCAAAAGTCTATCTTATAAAATGATAATATAAATTTATCAATAGTATATTAATGTTTTTTTCAGAAAAAAAAGAAAAGAAAAGATTGTTACAAGGCATGTTCTTAAGCATTCCACTGTCTTCGCTGGTCAAAAGAATTCTCAAGTCTTCCATTTTCATATACTTAGACATCTCTAGAGGAAAATGGAAACTGGTTTGGGTTCTATGTGATTTTTTTTCTCTTTAATCTTAAAAAAAAGTATTTAAAACATTAAAAGTAAAGAGAACAGAAATATAATTAAATTAAACAACATAATGGTTATATTAGTAATTAATTTCGTAATTTATCATCTCCATCAAAATTATTAACGAATTGTTTTCTATAGCTTAAATGGATATGCTTCTTTAATCAGAAGAGGGAAAAAACAAAAAAAACAAATTTCCATTACTGGAGTATTTGTAAGTCTGATTGGTTTCTCGTTATCATCACAGGAAAAAGGTTCCCAAGAACAAATTTTCATATGTGGAGTATTAAGTCTGGCTGGTTTCATAATGAAGAAGGGCCTCAGAAAGATTAAAACACCAAAAAAATAAAGTTCAGGGCCTTTCATAGCAAAAAACTTCCTCGACTGAAAAACAAAATTTTTCCAAAAGACATCTCACCGCCTATATCGCTAAATCGAGCGTCTAATCCCAGGAGAAATTGTACTCATGGAGTAAAATAAAATTTCTCGGAGCGTACATGCGATTTTGGTATCATCAGTCGTAGACCATCAGATGCCATCTGAATGGTCCAGATCACGCCACTTCAAAAACCTCCTTCGAAGTCGACAAAACATTTTCGAGAAAAGGGAAGAACCGGAAAATGTCAAGAAAAGAAACAGAAACAGAAACAGATGACTGCGTGGTTTTCTGTAAGTTCCCAGTTTATTTTTTTAATCACTCCTATAAATAATAGGTGGACCCCATACGAACAGTGGTAATGGATCTGATTTACCTTATAAAAACTAGTGCTGATTTTATACTCTCTCTTTCTTGTCTCTGGCTCCACACTTGGTCGACAACTGTTGTTTCAAACCCAAAAGTCTCCGGATTAGTCTTTTTTTCTTAATTCTTTTTTCTGAGAACCGATCCGTGTTTCTTCAGGATCTTTGAAAAATCCTATATTGTTGAGGTATGTTTGCTATATTTTCTCCTGTTTCACTGTCCTGCGTTGTTGCTGTGCTATTTCAGATTGTCTGACTATGTTGTATAATAAACTCTAGGTAGAATTATCTGAAAAATTCATGAAGTTCTGTAGATAATTCATTAGTATAATTTTTTGTTATCCTACTTTTATGCATGGGTTTGTGGGTAGTGTTTGATTGATTGAGGCTGTTTAAAGCTCAATATAATTTAATTAGTCTTGTTCGTTTTTATGGGAATAGATAGATGGGTCACTTTTCTACCTAGACTAGCGTGGTTATGGTTTGCAAATTGTTGCTGAGGTTTGAGCCTTGTCTTCTATTTACTAATGGGGTTGCAATATTGTTTTAAGCTTTGCTTCTGAAATTGCCTTTTAAGTGTTTGATCGTATGCTTAAATCGGTTTACAGGGGGATTGTGCAGCAGGAGGTGAAAGTTTGCTGCTTTTGTATTTTTCATTGGTTCTGCAAGTTTCTTAGTAATCAATAACATTTTAATCTTCAAAGATGAAAAAAAAGGGAAAACAAAACCACTGCCACTGGGTTTTTGAGGATACCAGTTTTACTTGTTTCTAATTGTGTTTCCATGGGATGTCATAGATGGCGAATGATGGGATAGAGTCAGATATCTTTTCTTGCTCGTTTGGTGATGTTTGAAGGGAAGACATATACCTTTTTTTTTTCAAAAAAACAATAAACGGTTTAGCTGGTTCTCAGTAATATTACTGTCAACGTGTTTTATTCTTAAAGCGAGAGTGTCACTAGCAGTTCTCACAATGACAGTCACTCCCATTCCTCTTTCAACGATGTTAAATTAGGTGATATGGTGATCTAAAAATAAGACGGCGATATGTCTCTCATGTGCCTATGCCTTATTGTTTTTTTATATTTGCAGCATCAATTTGGTTGGTCATTGAAGAGAAACTGAGAGATATTTTGACATTAAATTACTAGGAATAGAAGATGAACAACTCTTCTACAGGATCCTCATCGAAATCAAAAGCCGGGTCTTCTTCACAGTCTTCAGAAAGTTCATTTAAGCGAAAGCGGGGAGTGTTTCAGAAAGACTGTAAGTGAGTGAAATGACGTCCGTTTATGCTAGTTTTCTTATGGATTTTTTATTAATTTCTCTGGTTTTTTGTTACAGTGCAGCATATGATGTATGGTTTTGGTGATGATCCAAATGTAAGTGTTGCTATCTTATCACCATAATATGGTTTACATTGATGGATTGAGGTTTTCTTGTAACAACAAATGATGGATAACTGTTAAGTATTGTTATGCATTGTGCTAAAATTGTTTACTGATAATCTATTGACTTTATAAGTTGCAATGCACTCTTCTGTATCTAATGTGACATGTTTGTAAAAGTAGTTTCTGTCATATCTCTTACATTACCATTTGACAGCATACAACATTTTGGAAGAATAGTGTTTTAAACCAACCTGGACCTTTCAAGGCAATATATTTGAACGTATGTGTCTCTCACATTACCATTTGACAGCACACAACATTTTGGAAGAATAGTGCTGGACCTTTCAAGGCAATATATTAGAATGTATGTGTCGCAGCAATTCAATCTGTCACCTTAAGGAACGAGTGGGGGATCTGATATATATGTTTTAACCGTTAACTGTCTTAGACGCCTTTTTTTTTTTTTTTTTTTTTCGGGCATAAATTTTCCATACTTGCTGCAAGTAGATAACTGTCTCATCAATAATAGTTGGATAACTGCCAAGGAACTCTCTGTCATTGATATCAAACATCGTTGTGTAAATATCAGTTAGTTTGGTCTGCAATTAAATACACTTACACATATCTTCTGCTGCATAATCAGCCGCTCCCAGAGACTGTGGCACTTGTGGAGGATATTGTCGTGGAATATGTGACAGATTTGGTAAGCATCCTTTTAGGTTAGTAATTTTCCCACTTTATCAAGATGGTATCATAGTATCACGTCCATACCTGCAACTTCTGTTTTGCAGGCACATAAAGCCCAAGAAATCGGATCAAAGAGGGGAAAGCTATCGGTTGAGGATTTTCTGTATCTAATTCGCAAGGTACTCTCACCACAGAATTTTGCATCATTCATGTTTTAACATAGTTTTTGAATCTGATTTTTCATTCTTCTTGTGCCTATCAAGAGTTAATTGGGCACGAGTTCTTAACTGGTACCCACCAAGAGTTAAATAGTTCCATGTCACCAAAATAAATAGAGAAAAACGTACCTGTTCATCCATATGAGAGATCAGGATGGGCAATGGTGGAGGAGAACACCTTGCATAATTAAACCCTGCAGGATTTAGTGGATTTTAACTGTCATAACACATCTGCATAATAGCGCAGCATACTGATGGAGAACTCATTCCCATTTATGTTCCCAATAAAGTAAAACCAATTCGTTCTTTTGAACAGTGGGTGCAATAGGGACGGAGCACTTATGACTGCCTGCATGTATGGAGAAGGATTTGAACTCCTGCTATTCCAATTAATACCTGGCTTTCAAGACCAACTTTATTAATCACTCAGACATCCATTGCTGCCATGCTTTTCCTTCCCTATATATCCTACAAACTTCATATGCAGTCATAATAGTTCTTGCTTTAATATGTTTGTACTTGAACCAATCCAACTTTGACATGCAGGATCCTCCAAAACTCAATCGTTGTACAGAGTTGCTGTCTATGCAAGAGGAGCTAAAACAAGCAAGGAAGGCCTTTGAGGTAGACGAAGAGAAGCTAGCATCGACAGAGTGACATGGGATGGGGTAAGAACGATTGATAGGTAGCTGTTTGTAAATAGTGGAACTAGATAAATCAATCTGAGATTATGTTGTGTTATTCTGTATGAGTCCAATTTTATGTTGTCTACCGCCAATTTGAAGTCAAAAACAAATGATTGAAGAGTTGAGAGTTTCAACACTCCCACCGTTGTTGAGTGACCAAAAATCTTTTCCAAGCACAGGTGGTTCTGACGCATTTGAAAGATGGAATCAATCATTTCATTTTGTGACCGTAGTTGAGGAATGCCTTCCTGAGTTTTAGTAATTGATAGAGAATTGGACTGAGTTGTAACTTAGCCTTACGGCTGCATTCTTAATTATGCATCAAGAGTCTTAACTATTGATCTATGCAGATGGCCATGCAAGTGCATAGACTGCCCCTTGAGCGCTCAGTTACTTGGACAGAAAAATAGAATCGTGGATGATCTAGAGTTATAATTTTTTCATTTCCCAAAGTATATGAATCTCCATAAGCCTAGTATTCTTGGTTATCATATTAGCTTACAGCATCTTCAAGCATCGAGTTACAATATCGAATGTCATTTGGTTGATTTATATACGCTTACCGAATTAATTTCAGAAGATATCCATCCACTAAGTTGCGGGATGCTGCTCAAGAAGTCGTGGCGGGGTTACTATTTTTCAACGTTTTAGGAATTCTACACCTGAGCCGAGAACGCGATGACCCTCACCTTCTTGTCTTGTGTTGGCAGCTGGAATACCTTGAGGATGACATAAATATTCCTTTTCTATGGGCTAAAATTCATGCAAGGCGGTGAGAGGGTAACAAGAACAAGAGCTTTACCATGCACTGCTCAGAAACTACGTCCTAAAAGCTGAATTAATTATTACTCGTTTCCTTTACACACTGATTGTAAAATCGCCACTCTGAAAAAACTAAAAAGGGGGATTGTTAATCCCTGTTGTTTTCTATTTTTTTTGGCACAGAAAAAGTCTGCTTCAACGAATCCATTTCGAGCTTCAAATTCATTTTAATCCATATTTCAACGTCTAAAAGTCAAATCAAAATTCAAAAGTTATTTTATATTCGTTTTTTACTTTTGCCCACAAGTTATTTTAGGCTTAGGATCTACACTACTCAACTCCTGTCATTAACCAGCTCCTAGACATTCTCCATTTCCTTTTTCTTTTCTGTGTCCTCTGTTTTTTTCAATTTTTCTTGCGTCAAATCACAAATGGAAAAGCTAGGCACGATTTAAAATGGGTAAAAGATTCAGCAGCAAAACCGGAGGTCAAAAGGGTGGAAGGGAAAGAAGAAACAAAGAATTTCATTCTTAATATTTTCAAATAAGTGAATTATTAAATAAAAATTGTATAGTAATACTACATGATCCATAGTACATAACTAAAATAAAAGTATCAACTCTGTGAGATTTTTTATCAACTATTATATCCTTATTACAATACCAGGGTTGCAATATATATATATATATATATATATATATATATATATATATATATATATATATATTACAACATCCATTGAAAATAAAACAACATACGATATAGAGAATGATAGGAAGTACCAAGAAAACTAATATACTACAATGCAAAAGGTCCCGGGCCCACGCCTGTGTTTGATATCAGGCCTGCTGAGACTAAGCTTACTATTGGCCTGAACAAATAACCGGACGACAGGATGTCGGACTCGGGCTCAACCACCCCAACCTCAAACCGAAATGAATACTAACATATCCTGCACCTTTCTTATAATAAGAAAAACACAGAGAAATAGAGAGGCTTTCGACGGTTTCTTTCTTTTCTTAATCTGAAATTCTTTGGTGAAAAAAAATGGTTTCTGTCGGGTTTTCAACGATGTAAAATAATTTTAGGTTGGTTATAGTATTATTGTTTTCGTAGTATATTTGCAGGAAGAGAAGCAACTTAATTAATTTAGGGCTATGAACAACACTTGTGCGTCGAAATCAAAAGATGGGTCATCTTCGCAGCCTTCCGAAACCTCGTATAAGCGAAAGCGAGGAATCTTTCAGCAAGACAATAAGTGTAAGTGACTGAATTGACTTTTGATATCTTGCAAGTTTCTTCTTTCTTATTATTATTATATATATTATGTTGTTTGATGGATGCATGGACGCAATGCAACAGTGCAGCACATGATGTATGGTTTTGGTGATGACCCAAATGTAAGTGTCGTTGTTCTCTCTCTTTCACATCACTGCTAGACTTTGCAATGCATTTGGAATCTGAATAACACACGATAAAAAAGACTCGACAGGCCAAAACTGCCTTTATTTATAAACTATGAGGCTTTTCTAACTGATTTGCTCGATAGGGACATGAAATTCATCACATTCCATAGTCATGGCTTACAATTACAGTGTCATTTATTCGCGATTGCTGTCATTATTATGGGCAAACCTTTTCCTTGTTGCGGCCTGCAAGTAGATGCCCGTCTTGTTAATTATAGTCGAATAGCTGCCGGGAACTCTCTGTTATTGATACCTAACATAGTTTTGTAAATATTTATTAGTGTGTTTGTTCTACAATCAATATACTCACAAATATCTTGTGTTTCATGATCAGCCACTCCCAGAAACTGTGGCACTTGTGGAGGATATTGTTGTGGAATATGTGACGGATTTGGTAAGCATTCTTTTGGGTTAAATATTTTTTCCCACTTTAGCGATATGGTATCGTAGTATCATGTCCACATCTGCAATCCTTTCTTGCAGGCACATAAAGCCCAAGATATTGGATCAAAGAGGGGAAAACTATCAGTTGAGGATTTCCTGTATGTAATTCGCAAGGTACTTTATACACAAAATTTTGCGTCACTCGTGTTGTAGGAAACACTGCTGAATCAAAATTTTCCATATGATCTTGCACACTTATCATCAATAGACCACCATGCACAAGTTCTTAACTCGTTCATGGCAACAGTTACCTAGTTTTATGTCGCCAAAACAAAAGGGCGAAACCTTTCGTGTTCTCTCGTATAAAAAATAAAAGAGAACAGCGGGATGGGCAAAGGGGGAGAGGAGAACACCTTTCATAATTAAACCTACAGGACCTATTAATTTTAACCGTCCTAACACATGCACATAATAGCACAACAAACTGATAAAGAACTCTTCCCCCCATAAAACCAATTCATTTTTATGAACACTAGATACCTGAGCGCACTTAATTATAACTTCAAGTATGGAGAGGGATTCCAACTCCCGTTCTTCCTATTAGAATTTGGCCTTCAAGACCAACTTTTTTAATCAATCAGACATCCATCACTGCCATGCTTTGCCTGCCCTATACATTTCACAACCTTCGTTTACACTAATAATGGTTCTTGCTTTAATTCTGTTTGTACTTAAACCCATCCAAATCTTTTACCTGCAGGACCTGCCAAAGCTTAACCGTTGTAAAGAATTGCTGTCTATGCAAGAGGAGATAAAACAAGCAAGGAAGGCTTTTCTGGAAGATGAATAGAAGCTAGCATCAACAGAGTGACAGGGGGTAAGAAACATTAAATTTAATTACTTTCTCCTACGACGGGCAGATATTTTTCAAATAATGGAACAGGATGAATCAATCTGATTGTTCTTGTTTTTACTCTATGGCAGTTAGTTTCAAGTTAATATTGACTATCTACCGATTTGAAGTGAAAACCATACGATTGAACAGTTAAAGCCTCAATGCCTGCAGTTTTGTTCAAACTATTTTTTCCAAGCACAGGTTTACACGCCTTTGAAACTTGAAAGGATTGTCTGTTCTCATTTTGTAACCATAGTTATGCATTTGCACAGCTAAATATTGCTGCAAACTTCAGGAAGACCTTTATAATTCTTTTTACATATAAATGAACTTTGACCTTTAAATTAAAATTCGGCTGCATTTCATCCATAGTCTAGCTAGCTATTGACACGGTACACAGATGGCTATTCAAGTGCATAGCTGAGCCACTTGAGCGCTCAGGTTACATGGACAAATGAACAGCTTGTCATGATTCAGGAATTATCTTGGGGTGTTCTACCAGGGATGTTCGATTTATTATTTGTTCATTTTCCCTGGCATATGACTATCCTTAAGCCTGGTGTTCTTCGAGTTTTTATACTGCAAGCATTGAGTAACAAGATTAATGAATTTCATTTGGGAGGTTTATGTATGCGTTCCTCAAAATTAATTTCACAATCGTCTAGCAATGAATATTGAATATACATTAAATATCAGCCCTGAAAGCTTCAACTGCAATTGTGTGAATCACATGACGTGGTTGTTTATATATATACATGATGGAACCAAAAGCATGCTCAAAACTTTGAGCGCCTACTAATTTCATTTTCCACTTCTCTTCTCATAAAAAAGTCATTGAGATGGAACGCAGCTGAAAGGGAGAAAAATAGTTCATCCACTAATTTGTATGATAATGCTTACCACGAGGTGGAAAGATGAGAATGGGGAAAGATGAAGAACAAAACCCTTTTTTTTTTTTTTTTTTACTTTTTTGGAAACTGATAGCAAAACCTCAATGGCTTTCTCCGTATAATGCCATGTTACAAATTCAACCCCTTTAGGACACGAGACTGCCTTATCATTCACCTTCTGGTCTTCTGTTAGCAGCGGGAAGAACCTCAAATAGGACATAAATATTTACTTTGTTTGTGCTAAAATTAATGCAAGGCGGTGAGTGCATCGATATCAACAGTTAAACGCATCTAGTTTCCTTTTTCTCCTTTGCTTGATATGAATTGTGAAGTCCCGGCCCACTCTGAAAAAACGAAAAAAAAAGAGGATCTGCTTATCCGTTTTGCTGAAGGAGTAATTCCTGCTTGTATTTTTTCCGGACCGAGGAGAGTAATCCTTAATCAAGCAGGACTCTGCAAATCCCTATGAATAAGAACAACCTCTCCATGCCCTTCAAATTCTTGCTATTCATATTTTTCAGTTAGTTGATTTTCTGATATAAGAAATCGACATCATGAGTAGAATCGAGAATGAGAGAGAGAAAGAACTAACGGAGTTGTTCCAAGTGGTGGAGAAAGCAGCTGCTGCATTGAATGGAGGACCTGAGGAAAGCCATTGCCTTGACGCATTGTCTCAAATCAAGAGTTTTCCTGTCACCGTCGAAACTCTCGTCTCCACCAAGATAGGGAAAAACATTCGACTTTTGAAATACCATCCTAGTAAGAAAATCCAGGATCTTGCTTCTGATACTCTTGCGTTGTGGACTAAGACAGTTGCTGACCAGAAGAAAAACGGTAGTAGTAAACCTCCTCTTGAAGTTGAGGCCTTGCTCAAGTGTAACAATCCCTTGCGGGACAAGGTACGTGAACTGTTTTATGAGGCGTTCTGCAAGGTTTCTAATGAGGCTAAAGAAGATGCCAGGGATCAAGTGGAAGCATGTGATCCTGTTGGCGTTGCTGTTTCTTTAGAGTCGGAATTGTTCGAAAAGTGGGGGAATACTAATGGATCCAACAAGATTAAGTATCGATCGGTCTTGTATAATATTAATGATCCAAAGAACCCAGATTTCAGGAGAAAGGTACTTCTCGGAGAGGTGAAGCCAGAGAGAGTGGTGAATATGAGTGCGAAAGAGATGGTGAGCAATGACAGACAGCATAAGAATCAGATGATTAAAGCGAAGGCTATGTTGAAGTGCATGAGTGGAACAGCTAACAGCGGCACAACTTATCAGTTCAGGTGTGGTAGATGTGGGAAACGTGAGACTACTTCCTGTCAAATGCCGACGAGGAGTGCTGATGAGCCCACGACAACATTTGTCACATGTGTGGTATGCAACAACCATTGGAAGTTCAGTTAACTGGTCTTCAATATCTTTGATTAATTAGGACCCTGTTCTAAGACATTTGTTGCTATTAATTCGAGTAATTAGTTACATTAGAACTTTTATGGTATTCGATTGGTAATTGGTGATTAGAACTATATGAGTTTCCAAGTATTCCAGTCGTTCTCAGTCGTGAAAAATCTGCATTTTGTCCCTTGTATTTAAAAGGGTAGAATTTATCCTTTCATTTGTAAGGATGGCTGAGTAGTGTCAACAAAAGATGCATCCTGCAAATTTCTCTTTTTCAAGTATTTTGGAAAAACCATTGACAGTTCAGGTGTCAGGGAAGGTCTAAGATTTTCTGCTTGTTCGTTTTCTGAAGCATACGAATTGCTACCTCATCTCATCAACTTCCCACGACTGGTTACGATTCAATCACTATTGTCCATTTTTGAATTTGCCTCTTTTTATTAATTTTAATCTCTAATTTCGCAGCTTTACTTTATTTAAGGAGTTTAATGTGTAAAAAGAGCTTGGATATTTAGTTATAAATGTAAGAAGAAATCTTATTCATTAAATTAGTTTTTAGAGTTTAGACAGTACAATAACATCCAGCACTAGCATTAAAGTCTAGATTAAAATTATTTAAGTGTGAATGAGAAAAAATCTCATTTCATTAGTTAGATTTTAAAATTGAGAAAGTCCAATAACACACAATATGATCGACCGAGAGTTTCAATTATACTTAATTTCTATATAATAAGGATAAAATGAGAAAAAAATAATAATTATAGTTCATGCCTCGTTACCTAAGTTTCTTATTGTGGTTTTATTTTTTTTTAATTAGGCATGCATTTTATATTTACAATGAATAATTTTTTTTTTAAGCATATGAATAAATAGTATGACTTTTCTATTTACATGCACTACTTTATATATCATTTGCATATTGCAAATTTTTTCTCATAAAAAAAAAAAAAAAAAAAAAAAAAAAAAAAAAAAACTCACATCTTCTTGAACCATACCGGCAATAATCGTGACGCCAAACGGCGTTACAAGAAGTCTGTTGTTTTTTACGAGTCTTCCTTTTGCTTCCTGTGAAAATAATACATCCGGTATTTGACTGATCAGAATATGTATGCTGGTGGCCTCTTTAATACTTTTGTGGGCAGGAGGGCAAGCTTTCTTTCCGTTGGCTAGGCCCTGGTGTACTGTGTAGTGTATGATAAATTGTTTTTGTACAAGCCAGGCTTTAAAACGACTTTAGAATGGGTCTATTCTGATATCGGCTCGAATCCGAGGTTTCTCGGAGAGGAGAGAGACGAGACATGGTGTCAGTTGAGAGATATGACCTCTCTTTGCCCCAAGCACTAGTTTTAACTGTCCCTTATATCCGTGGGAGATGTGATTTCTTTTTTTAAACTCACACGGTTAAAAACTTTTAATAAAACTAATTTATTAAAATTTGAATTAGTGATTTTTTTTGTTACAAAAGATCATTATTATTAGTGACGAAAACCATCAATTTAGCAACCATACACCTCAATAGCTAAATAACTATGATACATATGGAATGTAAATTAACACCCTCCACAATTGAAACAAACCTGTATTCTTCGAGTGTGAAAGTAAAAAACAAATCATTTCAATCTCTTTATCAATGGAATAATGATAAAATAATTAGAACAACACTTTGAATCCTTCAAAACGTCACAAACTTACAAGTTTGATAAGTTAAAAATAAAAAAAAAATTTAGATATTGAACGCTGTGTATTAGTTTGATAAGTTCTAAAGTTAATGTAAGAACTTTAAACAAAATTTTCACAAAAAGCTAAAATATTTTTATATTAATCAAATCGTGTCTTGACAAGAAAAATCAAGCTTGTTTATATAGAACAAAGGCTAAGATACAACATTCAATTCTGATTCAATACAAATTGTAACTCCCCATTTAATAACAGCCCTACTTCATGACAACTAAGCCATGATTATTGGCTCTAAATAGTTCAGCCTTCTAATCCCTTATTCTTAATAAAGAGACAATAAAACTCAACACTTAAAAATTAAAACCCATGCTAAATTCATATAACAAATAAACCAAGCCCAAATTACTAAAATCCACAATAACATGAAATAACAGTCCAAAATCCAAACACATATAATCAAGATTGATTGACCTTTTATTCTTCAGCGGGCTGGATTGATTCAAACAATGTGGATTGTATCATTGTCTTCATGATTTGAAAATGTTTGAATCATGTTAACAATTTTAAGGTTTTCTTACATACATAGACCCTTGACAGAATTGAGGTGAGTTTGTCCCTTCCAAATGTCTTCAAGTAAGCAAGTTAATGCTTCTTTCATCCTTTTAGCTTTAGCTGTTGTCATTGGCCTCCGTGAATAGTTAAACGATCTTGCTTCTTGACGTTACTTCCAACCTTGGCCGACTCATCCCCTTGCTGATTCATATCAATGAGGATACAAGCTCCTTGTTATACAGGACATGTGATGACTTGATTCCCAAGGGTAAACTAGCTAGTAGCAATGCAGTATCAACAATGGGTAGATGCGAAAGCAATTTCAGAATTGATGATATGCTAGTATGGCTTGAGAATTGACCCAATTTTGAGGATCATTGATAATTGAAATAAACACAAAAACTAACAACTTCATGAAATGCAATTTGTTTGGTTAATCAATATTGTTCATTATCTATCTTTACTGTATAATAAAGGACGGAAAAATTATTACAACATAGAAAGTTATAGTTAAGAAACGCTAAGAACAAGAAACTAAATCATAGGAAAAACAGGAGCAGTGGTTTCGTCGTAGCCATGGTTTCAAAAAACGGCAAGTATATTATTTAACGAGCAGATTCAAACATATTTGTTTCTGTTATATACCGTTACAAAAAAATCTAATAGGAGTTAACCTAAATAAAAAAAAAATTATATTATATAATAGTTACATTATTGTTTCAAAAAAGAAAATACTTTGCCGCAGTTGTTATTTACTAACATTATAACTACAATCTACAATAACAATTCCAACTGTTATTATAACCATATCCACAATTTAAAACCATCACCTGCTAGCTTTGAATTAGAAGATTGACGATGTCTTTCTTAAATTCGACTTGAGGATCGGCTGTAAAAGACGGAGGCAAATGATGCAGTTATTAACCATTAAAGATCGAACGTGAGAACTCCAAAGCAGTTCATTGTTAAATTCCGTGTGTCGAACTTCTCAATAACTACTCATTAAACAAACAGGAGACCAGTTGTTGCTCTGATACATTCCTCAAAACCAACTTCGGGACGACCTTGAAGAAGCATGGGACATAACACAGGCTAAGGACTCGATTCTTGACAGAATGTCACACACAGCAGCGCAGATTGAATTGGGTAAAAGATTGTAAATCACTTGCACCTCACGGCAAACGAAGCAGTCATTTCCAATAAAAGTGGAATAGAAGAACACCTAAAGCAATTCCTCTTTAGTTTTAGCTTCTTTTGCACTTCTCTCTAACAATTCATTAAGAAACAAGGGCGGTTTTATGGCTTAGATGGGAAAAAATAGTACTAATTTGTATGCTACTCCGCAACAAGGGGTAAAAAACAAAAAACCTTGGCCGCTTTCTGATTTTCTATATGGTGCCATGTTACAAATTTGAAGAATTCAGGACGTGAAAGAAACTAATGTCTACACCCTAGCCAAGAACTTCCTTGATTTTTTTCTTCTGGTCTTCTGTTAGTGCCGTGGGGAAAAGAACCTCAAATGTGACATAAAGATCACCGCTCTTCGTGCTAAAATGCAGTGGCATTCCCTCCCCCTTGAACCTTCTTACTTGCTTGGGTTTAGTGATTCCCTGAATACAATTTACACGTCATTGCTGCCTCATAACCTTCCGCAACAAGGAGTCAAATGTCTAAAATAAACACCAAGAAAGCTCTAGAGAATATATGAAACTTACCTTCGAGCTAATGTCCACCAAGTGTTCATCAAGATGTTTAATGGTCTTCTCAAAACCAACAAGCGCTTGAACCTGATATAAAATATAGGTCCAAAAAATCAACTCCACGTTAGAAGCAGACCTTATCTCACATAACATTTAAAGGAACAGAGAAAAGAGAGCAAAATTTTACCAGTGTTATGGTGACAGTTGTATGCAAGTCGTTGCCTTCTCTTCTGAAGACATCATGAGATGCCGTACGAATTCGGAACTGCCAAAAGCGTGATAAATTATAGTTTGTTTTTAGAACAGAAACAGTAGTAGCAGCAGTAGAAATAAAACCACATCACAAGCATAGTTAAGACTAACCTTCAAATCTCCAGGTTCTCCATCAATTATAGGCTCCCCGTCTTCATAAAAAACAACCTCCTGTAACATGCACAGTAACATTATGCTAAAAATGCAAGAAGATAGTATAAATATGGATGCCCGAGCAGCCATAACTAATAATAAATGCCATATCTGCTGTAAATATTTTTTGCAAAACCAAAAGGCTACACAACTTATATATAAGTTCCATTGGGTTAAATCCAAATGTCTGATACTAGATTTTAATAATTAAGATAAATTACGGCAAGGAACATAATTGCATATCTAACAATGAAAATTGCAGTTTGCCAACCAAACTGTGGAGAATAACTTCCCATAGATTTTGAAATTGCATAACATATGACATGTAGATGCAAAACAGTTCCAAGCAATATTATAAATCTGCACACTGTTCACAAGTGAAGTACATTTTCATGTGGCAAGTAGGGCAATGGCACATGATACCCACCATTCCATGTTTGATAACATTCTAAAAAACAGTTGAGAGCTCTAATTGCTTATCATCATTACCCAATTAGGCAAATCATTTAAGGAAGTTAAAAAAGGCATATGCAAAAGCACACAAACAAGTACCCTTTTTTGAAAAATATAACTGAAACAGAATATGAAAAGCCCAAACAAAGGACCAATTAAAGGGCCACCACATGCAGCTTGTAGCTAAGACTTCCATTAGTGTTTTCAAGTGAAGGAACCTTTACTATCACTGTATACACAACTTTCATAAGAGATGGGCAGCAAGCGTTTGAAAAGAAAACAGAAGAAGTTGATGACAACTTTCATAGGATGTGGCAAAAGAAACAAAAATTTCTATCCAAAAGCAGTCTTTAAGTATCTTAAACATAATGGCGCAGAGAGCTTACTTGTCCATCTTGCATGCCTTTCTCAATATCAACTGTGAGAAAATATCCCTCCCTTTCATATTTGACGTTTTGGCATTGCTCACAGACCTGGAAAAAAAATAAGTAGAAAATGTAATAAAGCTAGAGAGTAACCTTACAGTAGTGGAGTTGGCACAATGATGGGAGTGGAACTAAGCGTTCCAACCTATATTGGGTCGATATACTCTCACTACTACATTACTTCTAGATAAGTTAGAACAAGACCCATTGGAACTTTCACAACAGGATTGCTAAGCCATAGTATACCTGTTCTGTCATCTGCTGAAACATCCCTGGACCAATTTGCTTGTGGTAAACTTCATTTCTACAGTTACAGCGTCTTTTGCCAGGGGCTGGCTTTATAACATTTTTTTCCCTCCAAACCTGAGGAGCAAAAAAAAAAAAAAGTCAAGCTCAATAACAAACCAAAAGAATATCTTATTGCAATTAATTTCAACTTCTCCCCAGTGAAATAGGAAAAGAAAACAGATATGACCCTAACTTTTGTTGATTACAGCTGCATGGATATGCATGCACATACATGTTTGTCCCATTAGGTTGTATTTTACCTGCTAGCTTCTGAGAAAACCACAAGACAATAACAAAATTATACAACTGCCACAACTTAAAGTTAATTTTAGCTCCTCCTAACTATGTTCGTACGACAACATTCCCAATGCTGCATATTCATTAAGAAAAGTGGCACCAGCTGTGACTGTTGCACTTAGACCGTTCATGCAATATAGACTACTCGCATCAGTATGTGAGACCAGCCATATGTGTATTGCAAGCATGGTCCAAATGCATAAATTACCACTAATGCTAACAATTCTCATACACTAAAAAGGCCAAGTTTGGTAGCATGAAATGTAATGTAAGAAAGACTCTAGTGCTTTTCCTCCGCCACTACATTCATTACGTTTTACCAAACATATCATAAAATCCTAAGTTTGGAGACACATATTGCAATGTAAAGCATTCTTCTTTGACTACATTCTATTACATAGCATATTAACAATGTTCTGAAAATGGGTAGAGTATGAAATATCTCAAAGACTGCTGCTTGAATTTGTAATGTGATAGTTACCAGCTCACCTCAACTAAGACTTATCCCACTGAAATAACATTGCATCTAGAGGCAACTTCCCACAAGAAAGGCTAAAAGCAAACATTATCTATTGCGTGCATAGGGTTTACAGGACTTCAAAAACATGTTCATACTGCATGGATTGAATTCAATTTCTACAACAAGAATGGTAAATTACAGATTTAAAATTAAATGCTCATTACCTTCAGTGAACCACCCATGTACAAGTCCTCCAGTGTTGCATCCAATTCTACAATTACATCGTCACCCTTCACGATTTTCTCTTCCTCTTCCATCGAACCTCCACCAAAAAATCTGGAAGAACCATAGGTCAGCAACTTGAGGTTTAGAAATTAGGATTTAAACGGGAAAAAGTGATGGTTAGGCACATATACATGCACAACACAAAACAATATTCTTAAATTAGCAGAAATGTTGGTATCTGCTAAATGTAAAATGAAATGGGATTCATGTACGCCTAACAGATCCACTAACTTCAAATAAAAACATTCAGTACTAACATTCTCCACTTGTGCACAACTATGATGGTAGTCTTTAGATTCGGTACAGCAATAGCTTACCAGCACAACTAAATGGCAGTCTATGTAGAGAGCACACCTCTTTCTATACAAATTTGTGGTGTTTTAAGACTAGAATACAGCTAAACTCACTGAAACGGTATCATTAAATCTAAAGATACCAAAGATCCTAACTCCACAAAGAAATTAAAATGCAACAAAATGTTTGCAAGATTAGGGTTACTTGGTTTAAGCTGCACGAAATGCATGAACATTATTACTGTACCTTTTAAATCGAATACTACTCTAAGTAAACATTGAAGAAGTGAACAAACAGAAATTGCACAGAAAAAATAAGAAAAAAGGAAAACATACTGGCTAAAAATGTCTTGAAAATTCATTCCTCCACCACCACCTCTGCCTCCGCTAGCCATATGCTGCTTAAGTCCCTCCTCTCCATACCTGTCGTATATATTCCTCTTCTCGCTATCCGATAGCACCTCATACGCTGAATAAATTATTTACCCACCCAAAAATCAATCAATTAATCAATAAGCATAAAAAATTACGAGGTAAATTAATTAAGAAAATAGACGAAGAAGAAGAAATATACCATTGCTAATCTCCGCAAATCGCAAATTAGCCTCTTCATTCCCCTGATTCTTATCAGGATGATACTTCAAAGCTAGCTTTCTATACGCTCTTTTGATCTGTTCGTCCGATGCACCTTTTGGCACTTGCAATACTTCGTAATAGCTCTTCCTGCACCACCATTACTAATCAGCTAATTTAACTCTCTAAAAATAATATTTAAGCTTGAAGGATTAAAAGATTGAGAGATGCGCACCCTGCAATGGCGATGACAGAGTAGTATGATAGAGCCACGCATAATAAGATTAAGAGCTTTGTTCTTCCATGCTGATGCGCCATTGTTTAGAACAGAAAATTACAAAAGATCAGGAGGAGAGAATTGGTGGATCTATCCAAGACTTAACGGCTACTAGGGTTCGTAATTGCCAAGCCCGTTGATGATTTCTTACCGAGCGATGTTGAATGACTGGTCGTCTCTGAAACTCTCTCCCTCAGATTGTTAAAAGATTGATCTCTTGCTATAATGTTTGTTTTGAAGATAAAGAGTCAGAAACCGGGCTGCCTATTGTGTTGGAACTTGGAAGTTTACCCAAAAGCTAAAAGCACAAGGCAAAGATGACTTGACTTCGCTACGTGTTCTTTCTTCAAACCAACCAATGGGAGGGGACTCTATGTTGTTCCAACCAATTCCGTTCTGCCACGTAATTCTTTTGCTTTTCTCTTTGTTTCTTGGGTCATGGTGCTACGTGCAGCAAACGCCTGGTTTAATTATAAGCGAGGTCGCTGCTTTTAACAAGAATTGCGTCATGGAAGTGGTGCAAACTGCTTAGATCCATTATGGATTTCGAGCCTTGGCCTGTTAACCATTGGACTATCCATTATGGAGTATGGACTTGATTTGAATGAATGATTTCAAAAATAAAAAAGAACGAGAGAAAGAAGGCAAGAGCCAAGACGGTGAATGGCTAAAGCCCGAAATTATATTGGTGTCGAAGACCCTTGCTGCCCCTCTGTTATTTGTCCGTTTCGATTTTGAGGCTTGAGCCCGAGAACCAAACTTTTCCAATTTCGCAAATCTAATCTTTATCATTCTGGCAATTCACGGAAGTGGCAATGGCAAATCTATCTCTCATTAAACTGGAGTCCATATATACTTTTTATAGTGATTTTTATATTTATGTGAAATGCATTATTTTCTTTTTGATCAATAAACTTTATCATTTATCAAAAAAAGAAAGTATAGCTTTAAGCGGATCTAGTAATTTCTCTCAAGATAACTGTTTGTATCAATAATACATCCATTTTTGTATTAATTTGACGAGCTAATTAATAGTAATGAATATTGTAATCAGCACTTTATAAAAACCCTTCTTATATATTGAATCTTGTTATAAAATAATAAATGTTCATATAATTTTTTTTAAAAAATTTCACTGCTTATAATTCTTAATATGATTCAATTTATCATTCAATATAAGAAATTGAAATAATAGTCACAAAAGTCTTTTTTTATTGAAAAACATGTAAATGTATTGTTGTATAAATGTATTGTTATATTTGTTGCATGGTGACGTCGGCGGTTAGGTGAAATAGGAAAAATGATTAGAGTCGCCACCTAGTATTACGGTTATTAGGAAACCTAGTGACTAGTACGTTCGAGTTTCGGATAAGGGGTTTATTACGTGCGGGGAAGATCAAAAGTCACCCTACCTCATCCTACCTAAGGCAAGCTGCATCACATACAACATTAATTTGATTTCGATTTTTTGTGAAAAAATCCCCCTAGTCAAGTGATTTAGGACTTGATCGGTCAAAAATCTCATCCTCACTCTGTAATGGATGGCTAAAAATGATTACGCATGGACAACAAAACGAGATAAAATTAAATAGACAAAAATTGACAAAATATGCATACTTGGCTACATGGGTAAACAAACAAATAATGATAAATTTGGCTAAATCAACGAAAATCGATGCTTAGACAAAAATTGGCGATTAAGTAAAAAAATCAGCAATTTTATGCAAACATAGGCAAAATTCGACAAGTTAGACAATTATAAGCAAAATCGGCAATTTAAGTAGAAAAACAATAAAAGTTGACAACTTAGGCAATCATAAGTAAAAATCGGCTATTAGGGCAAAAATAAATGAAAATCGACAATCTAGGCAATTATAGGCAAAAATCAACGATTTAGGCAAACATGAATGAAAATCAATAATTTAGGCAATCATATGCAAAAAAATCGATAATTTAGGCAAAATAACGTGAAAATCAACAAATTGTGCAATCACGAGGCGAAAATCAACGTTTTGACAAAAACAAATAAAAATCGACAATTAAGGTAGTCATAGGTAAAAATTGACGGCTTAGGCTAATGTAGGCAAAAATCAACAAACTTAAGCAAAAGTAGGCAAAAAATCAACCATCGGGCTAAAATCATCAAACACAAAAATCGATAGAATTAGTTGTCTTAACATACATAATTAACCGAGCTGAATGAACAAATTTACATGGCGAAGATCTAAACTCGTTTGAGTCAACATAGTGCCTTTTTAAGTAAAATTACTACACAGGACGCACTCTAAAAAAATATACATTCCACATCATTCACAAGGATCGCGAACTCAAGCAATGCACATAACCACAATTCAAATTAATTACATATGAACAACGGATCAAATTAATTACACAATACTACCATTTAATCAATTATACAACACATATCGATATGAATCAAATTTAATACATGTTAAGATAAAAATAAAATAAAATAAAAAGTAAAAAAAATTACCGTAAAAAAACGAGCTAGACAGATTTGCTTAGCGATCTTGAAGTCGGATTCGACCTTTTCAACCCCGATGAAGACCAATACTTAGTCAACCGGAGAGAAAAGGTGGGTGAAAGCGATGGCTGCCGACAAGGGCACCGACGCGCCGGGGCGAGACGTTAGTGCGCGAGGGTTGCATTGGCGAGCTCGTGGGCGAGGCACGTACACGCGGCCGGGCAAGGCGGGCGTGCGAGGAAGGCGGGCGCACGAGAGTGTGAGGTAGGCGGGCGAGCTATGAGCGAGGGAGGCGTGCTGATATGCTAGTGCTAGGCGAGGCGGGCCCGATTGCACGCGAGAGAGTGGGCATGTGTGGGGTTGTGGCAAGGCGGATCGGCGTGGAGCTTGTGGGTAGAGGTGATTGGATGGTTTTTTTGGTGTGGGACCGGTGTGTGGGAGGCCCGAGAGGGCTGGTGGAGTGATTGCTAGGCGGTAGGGGTGAGATGCGGAGTCGTGCATGTGGAAAGATGGCGGTTTTCTTGTGGGAGCTAGCGACTGGTTCTTTGTGTGAAGATGGTGAACAAAAGTCTGCCTTTTTTTAGAGAAAGGGGTGTTTTTATACTAGGTTTTTAAGGTTTTTTTTGGCTAAAATATGTTTTGCCCCCCATATTACAAACCCACTTTATTTTTGTTCTTTTCTCTTTTATTCTTCAATTACACCCCCGAAATTGTACTATTATTTTTTTTACTTTCTTTTCTTTTTTCTTTTTTTCTTCTTCTTCTCTCTCTCTCTCTCTCTCTCTCTTATTTTATTTTTTTTGAACAAAAATTGGGTGCTAACAATATTAGAAAAATGTATACAAACCAATATTTACATTTTTAAAAATATTTTAAATTTTAAATATATTCATTTTAAAATATTTTCAATATAAGAATAGATAGTTTGACAACATATGAAAAAAGTTTATATGCATGTAATGAATGTGATCACAACTTACTTATTCAATTAAAAATAATATCTATATGAAAGTTCTAAAAGAACTTAAGATGTCTAAAGCGCGTGATTCATATTTCCAGAAAATGAATTTATTTAAATTATAAAGATCTCTATGAGAATTATTTTAGTATTTATTTTTTTATTATTTTTTTATATATTTAATTTATTTATAATTTTTATATTTGTTTTTTAATATGCACTTTTATTACTAACCTATGGACACATAGTATAGTCGTTTTAGTGAATATTTACTAAAATAAAGTCATAAAAATGATCCTATTTTTTATGTGTTTTTATTAAAAAAAAAAATCTAAAAAGAAGTTTGTGGTAATTGTTATATATGTTTATGATTTAAATATTGTTAAACTTCTAAAGAGATTTTAAACGTCACAAGTTATCTAAAAGAAGAATTTGACATGAAAAATCTCGAAAAGATAAAATTTTGTCTCAACCTATAGTTCAAACACTTAGAAAATGAAATTTTTATTTATCGATCAATTTATATAGAAAAAGTTCTTCGGTGGTTCTATATGGATAGGTTTTATTCATTGATTAGCTCAATGATAGTTCATTCACTTGATAACTAAAAAGACTCTCTACACTCTTGAAAAAGATAGCGAAGAACTATTTGATTTTGAAATACCATATCTTAGTGCAATTGGTGCATTGATATTTACTAATAATACTCGACTCGATATAACTTTCTTTTATAAATTTATTAACAAGATGTAGTTATGTTTCAATATAGAGAAATTAGAATGAAAGTAAATATATACTATGTTATCTCTAAGAAAAAATTGATATGATGTTTATTTTATTCAAATAAATCAAAGTCATGTTTAATTGGCTATGTAGATACGGATTATTCATCCGATTTATACAAAGCTAGATTATAAATTGATTGTATATTTATATATGGTGATACGATTATATTATGACATTTTATAAAGCAATCTATAGTTACTACATCTTCAAATCATGCCAAAATATTATCAATTGAATACAAGTCGAGAATGCTTTTGGCTAAAATCAATGACCCATTGTATTCGAAAAACATATGATTTATCCACCAGCGAAGAAGTTCTAGAAATATTATATGAAGATAATGTTGATTGCATAACTCAATCAAAGAAAGGATACATCAAAAGTGACAAAACAAAACATATATCATCAAAATTATTTTCAAGAATGATCTTTAACTTGGATGGCAATATTAATATTTAACAAATTTGAACAAGTGACAATGCAACGGATATGTTCACTAAGGCATTGCCTACTATAACTTTTAAGAAGATGATTTGAAAAATTGAGATATATCGTCTTAAAGATCTTAAATAATGTTGTCGATGAGGAGAGCCCACTATCAAGATTAATATGTGCAAAAAATATTTTTTTCTTCTTCATTAGGATTTTTTTTTTTTGTCCGGGTTTTTCCTAACAATGTTTTAACGATACATGTTTTTTGTACAATGGATATTCAACGAGGAGTGTTATAAGATAACGAATGTTCATATTCTTTTCTTATTTTCGCTACTCATAATTCTTAATGTGGTTTGATTCACCATTTAATATGAGAAATTAAAAATGTAATGCAATTGATTCAAATATTTATGCATTTTTTAACTATTCGTAGTCCTTTTAAATTATTTTTTCTAAACTTGAAGCCCATAAATAGATTTAAATGTCCATTAGTTTGAGTTGAAGTGTTTTTATAGAAATTGAGAGATTAGAGTTGCTATTATTTATATTCATTTTATTTTATAGTAAAATTATTTTTCTATCATATTTTTTTTCAATTCTTTTACTATTATCATAAAAATAGTGTTTTGTAAAAATTTAAATAAATTTTTTAAGTTATTATCAATTATATTTACTTTTTATAATCTTTTCTCTCAATTCTTTTATTATATATTATTGTAACAATCTTTTACCAATATCATTATTTTTTTTTAACGAATCTCGTTTTTTATCGCCTACTATATTTGACCACGTGAGTCAAAATATCATTAAATAAATAACCAAAACCATCCTTCTATCTTCCAAAACATATTGGGTAAGGAGGCTAAGAAATGCTGTCTTTTTCGACCATCGAATGTTGCGGATTTAATGAGAGAGAATTCTTTGCTGTTGTTGTATGTTTAAAGTCCAATTCATGAATAATGCCCTTAACTTATACCATTAAAAAATTAAATTGAAAAATGATTAATTAAGAAAATGATTAATCAGAAAAATGATTATTGTAAAACTAAAAAAGATTTTTTTTATTTTCTTCTATTTAGCATACACATGAAAGAGTTTGTTTTTTTAGGAAAAAAAGGTTTTTCTTATTTTATTGATGAATTATATGGGAAGAAATAAATGTTTTTTTAGGCAAAAAATATTGAAGTTCTGATTTCAACTTTTTGGCAGTGAGATAATTTAATCAAAGAGATAATTTGTATCACTATCTTTATTTTAAACTTGAATGATTGTCTTGTTTTCTTCGTTACAATGCATTATTTTGGAATTGATTTTGTGGTTTTTCTCTAAATGTGATAGAAAATGACCAGGTAAATATAAATTTGGTATTCCTGTTATGGTGCTTTTATAATTGATTTATTTTATCATCTTATTTTTTTTCTTTTTGTGTTTGGCTTGACGTTTTTCTTAAGCAAACTAATTTACATGGAATGTGATTAAATTATAAACAATTTTTTAGCCGATAAAGCAAAAGGGAATATGATGCTGTAGGATTGGATGTGGTGATGATATTCCAGTTTTTAGAGACAATTTAAACAAGATAGCAAAAAGTTTAAGGTTTAATCATAAACTAATACGATGTGTTTTTGTAATTAATTTATTTTTTATTATTGCTTTTTGTGTGTGTTTGGTTTGATTATTTTTTTATAAAAATTAATTTACACAGAATGAGATTAAATTCTAATGGATGTCTAGGCAACAAAGCAAAAGGAAAGGAAGAAAAAAAAATGATGTTTGAGAATTGGCTGTGGTGACGATATTTCAATTTCTAGTGACAAATTTGAACAAGACTGGAAAACTTTTAAGGTTTAACGCAAATAAGAAATGAAAGAGTAAAAGGAGTCGAAATGTTTACGATTTATCCGTACTCATATGTTAAATATTAAGATATTTTTTTACCATGAAGATATTTTTTATTTTTTAAAGAAAAGTTGTGCCAATAGGCTTATAGGGTGTGGTAATAGCAGTTCCCTTCTTTTTATTGTTTATTTGGAATTTGCCAATATATCCTTGAATCTTTAGGCCATGGTTCAAAAAAGAATTTTACTCTTTCTATCTTAAAAACATAGTTTTTTATTTTTATATTAATTCAAAATAATATTCAATATCATATCATATCATTTTTATAAAAACTATATTTAAACAATCTCTTGAAAAATGAATTTTCATTCAAAATATTTTTAAAAATAAATTACTTAAAATGCAAACAAATATTTTATGATACATATATAAATTAATTATAAACTAAAACTCGTTAGGAGTTCACTGTTCAAATAAACAATGAACTCCCCGCTACTATTCATTTGAACAAAAATTTTTTTTTTACCCTCACACATTATACTACCCAATCTTAGTTTTTTTTTTTTTTTTCTTCTTAGTTCTTAGTTAATTTTTACATTATTTCTTCTTCTTCTTCTTTTTTGTAATTTTCACTCTTATTTTTTTTTTCAAATTATTTCATTTTGATCTTAAAAAATTTTAATCCCTAGCTGATGCATTATATGTCTTTTACTTTTCTATGGTTTTTCTTTTGGTTTTTTCATCAATTTGTGTTTTTTTTAAATTTAATTGAGTGTTAAAATTTTTTCAAAAATGAATCATTGTTTTTGTTCACACAAGCTAATGATTGTATAATATACATAGATCAAATGTATATAATTTAAAAATCATCCCTCACAATGTACTTGTTCATTATTATTTTTTCTTTTACCCTCACAATGTATTATTCACTCTTACCTTTTTTCTTTTTTTTCTTTTTTCTTTTTTTGTAATTTTCATTCTTAGTTTTTTTCTTTTTCCTTATCTTTTTTTTTTCAAATTATTTTATTTTGATTTTTTTTTATATATAATTTTCACTCTAAGCTTTTTTCTTACGTTTTTTTCTATGATTTTCAAATTATTTCATTTTGATCCCTAAAATTTTAAAATAAAATTTTAATCCATATCTGATTCACTACATGTCTTTTTTTTTCTTTACTTTTTTTTCATCAATTTATTTTTTTTTAATTTAATAGGATGTTAAAATTTTTAAAAATCAATCGTTGCTTTTTTTCACACAAACCGACGATTATATAATATGTATAGATCATATGTGTATACTTTGAAAGAAAAAAAGTCTTCTCATCGACATTAAATAAGAATAAAATTTTATTTTTTCATTGGTTAATTTTTATGTAAGTCTATACATTGATTTTTTTCGATATATTCTTCTAAAAAAATATATTTTTAATTTTTTTGATTTTATGGCAATACTATTCTCCCTCTCACAATGTACTATTCACTTTTAGGTTTTTCTTTTTTCTTAGGTTTTTTTTTTAATTTTTAAATTATTTTGTTTTGATTCTTGAAATTTTAAAATAAAAATTTTAATCCCTAGCCGATGCACCATATGATTTTTTTTTCTTTGGTTTTTTCTTTGATTTTTTTCATCAATTTATTTTTTTTATTTAATTATGTGTTAAAATTTTTAAAAATCAATCGTTATTTTTCTTTATACATAAACCGACGATTATGTAATATGTATAGATCAAATATATGTACTTTAAAAAAATTATCTTCTCGTCAACATTAAATAAGAATAAATTTTTATTTTTTATTAGTTAATTTTTATGTAAGTCTATACGTTAATTGTAACTTTATTTTTTGGATATATTTTTATAAAAAAATATATTTTTAAATTCTTAATTAATATTTTTGGTTTAAATTATTTATTACAAGTTTTATTTAGGGATTCCTAAATAAAGAAAAATAAATCATGTTTTTTTAAGCAAAAATTATATGAAAAAAAGTAATAATTAAATAAAAAATTATAAAATTTTGAAATGATTTTGTTTTATCTACCCGTTGCGTTACGTGGATAATTTCAAAAATTAATTTTCTCATTAGCATTAAATAAGATTTTGTTTTATTTGTTAGTTTTTATAAAAGTCTATTTTTTAATTATAACTTTATTTTTTTAATACAATATTATGAAAAATATATTTTTAAAGTTTGTTAATTCTTGATTAACATTTTAGTTAAAATAAATCTATAAAGAAGAATGATTTATGTTTTTTTAAGTAAAAAATTATTTTAAAAAATTAATTAAATATAAAATTGTAATTAAAAAATTTTAAAAATGATTTTGTTTAATCACAACCGTAGGGTAGCGCAAGAGTAACTAACTTGTAGAAACTGAAACAGAAAGAACTCACGACTCACAACTAAAAAGAGAAAAGGGATGGTACAATAAAGACGGTATGGTTAGACTTTTAAATCAAGGGCCCTAGGGTACTAGCTGTTGGCGGTTCTACGGATGTACGAGGGGCATCAACGTGGAGATGCATGCCTCGTCACGAGGCACTCGACGGTGGAGATGCCACGACTATGCTGTTTTTCTGTTGCTGTCGTGGCATAACCAGCCACCACAATCTATTTCCATCACTAGCCCCCCACATGCTGTCCCTCTCCCTGAAAAGTCTGCCCTTACAAATTTTACATTTCACTCTTCTATAAATGGAACTAATCCTCAGAGTCATAGTTGGCTCTCTTAGCTATATTACAAAGATACTCTTTTTTCTTGGGTTATACCAAAAGTTACACGCTAGCAATAGCCCTTTCTCGCTAGAGACAAAATGGGAAGGGCGCCTTGTTGTCAAAAAGTGGGCTTGAAGAAAGGGAGGTGGACGACAGAGGAGGATGAGAAATTGGCAAAGTATATTCAAGCTAATGGAGAAGGGTCTTGGCGGTCATTGCCCAAGAATGCAGGTATACTTTGTTTGACATTAAAAAAAAAAAAAAGGAAAAAAGAAAATCACTCGTTATGGGTTGCTAGTTTGTTTATTTTGGAATTGATATAACGTTACATAGAGCATGTTACTGACCTTTTTACGTACGGGATTGTTTACTTTGGCATTTTGAAGGTTTACTCAGGTGTGGGAAGAGCTGCAGACTGAGATGGATTAACTATTTGAGAGCTGATTTGAAGAGAGGAAACATATCAACTGAGGAGGAAGAGATCATCATCAAGTTGCATGCTTCTTTGGGCAATAGGTAAGTGCATCAGTGCAGCATTTTCCTCCATTAGTTATTTCAACTTTTTGTTCTCCTACCTGCTTTTTTTTCTTTGCTTTCCTTTTCTTTCCCTTTCTCTCCTAACAGCTTTAGAATCTTCCTTCACAAACATTGATTGAGTAAATTAGTTGGGAAAGGACCGAATATCTGTAACGACAGCCACTAAAGCAACAGCATTTTTTTTCTTCCAATTATTACCATGGTGTGATGAATTGTGAAGAGTAACTCTAAAATTGCTGTCCGGAAAAATAAAATAAAATAAAATAATCGTTGGAAAAAGGTGGAGTATATTATATATTGGTCGTTCTAGTTTTTCAGAAGCAATTAGATAATCCTTTTATTTTCAATAACTAATTAATTAGTCCAGTTGTTTTTAAATTTATTTGTAACTCAATCTTTTTCTTTTTTAATTTTAATAAATAGAGAAAAATATAGAAAATCGATGGAAAAAATATTTTGTAGAATGCAATAATATTAAATTAATTATGATCAATGTCAATGAATGAATGAAATTTTTTTTTTTTGAGAGATTAATTTATAATTTATTCGGAAAAAATAATATTCATTTCGAAGGAAAACGATCATAAATAAATAAAAAGTAGACCTTGCTAGTTTACACAGACCACAAGCTTTGTCTTGTAATATTTTCTTATACATGGCCTCGCCTTCATTCTTCGCCGTCCAACCACAGAGAAAAATGGCCGTCCCGCCTTGATGCAGTGAACTAGAAAAGTAATGCCCTAGAAGCCTAATTAGGAGATTGGAATCACTACAGCTAGAACCGTAAATAAACCGGATCTTTATATGCAAGCTTCACTAGGAACAAAACCAAAAGTTTTCGACTTGGGAAAAACATGTAGAAGAAATATGTTTTCCTCAATGCCTGTTTTTCTCAAGTATTTAAGATTTTTTATGACATGTTTAATCACCATTTCATAATTTTTACTCATTGTTAAAAAAAGAAGAAGCAACAATAATAAATAAATAACCAAGATCTGAGTTCGCCAACATATATGAATGATTAAGTGGACTATATATAACCAGGTGTAATCGTAAAAAGTTATAGAATTGCATCATAAAGTTTATGTTCGAGTTGAAAGAGTGACGAATGGGTGAGTGAAACCGAATATGGGTAGATTATGAATCTGTAGGGAGTCGGACCCCAGTCAAGGTAGCAGGGCGCTGTGGTTTAATAGTTAAGAGATAACAGCGGAAACTAGATTAGTTATTGGTTAATTAGTGCTTAGTTAGGATTCAAAAAGGAGTATTTCATGGATCTCACCTATCCGATCCAGTTAAAGGTTCGTTCTTTGTTTCTAGAAGAGTACGGAAATATCAGATTTCTCATTGTTGCTTTTGTCTCTTTTAATGACTAAGGGCTAAGGGGTGGTCTGGATGGACAACAAATTATATACCATCCATACCACAGGAGAGAGGCAGTGATGAGTCGCTGACTATGCCTAGTTCTGGAGGGAGAGCGGCTTGGCAAGGCTGTTTAATTAATTAAATGTCGTGACCAGAAAAAAAATATTAAATGTCAACCTCTTCTGGTCCAACTTGTTTCTGCGCCTCCTGCGTGATGCTGGCTAGCTATCCTTTACTGGTCATAGATCGATGTTTTAATTAATTAGGAACCTTCTCGAGTAGGGCGTTAGGTATATTTTCAATAGCTTTATGTGGGGACAGATGTATGCCAACTCCAATTTTACATTTTAAGGGATAGATGAGAGAACATGCCAACTGAGTTATGGACATGACTTACTTTTTAGGTTTATTAGGATGTAGGAGGTCACGACCAATGTAACTATGGACGTTTCTTCTCTTCTCAGTGACACGATGTATTTGTTTGGAGAATATTCTCTAAATTAGAGTTCCCACCTAAGCTTTTTCGATATTGTTCCCTTATCACACAGCCCGATACTTTGATTACGTTGTAGGAGTATTCATTTCATTTCCACCATGCAAAAGCAACGATGAGTCACCAATTTTGCCATGCATTGTTTGTTTTTATTTCAATTTTATTTTATTTTTGGTATGGAATGCATTAAAAGTTTATTGCTTATTTTGATGGCTCAGGTGGTCTTTGATAGCTAGTCGCTTGCCAGGAAGAACAGACAATGAGATAAAGAACTACTGGAATTCTCATTTGAGCAGACGAATTCACAGCTTTAGAAGGCCTGCAAATGAAAGTCTACCGTTGATGATGGAAATGGCCAAGGAGGGCATCTTAGCCAAAAGAAAAGGAGGTAGAACAGGTAGATTTGCAATAAAGAAAAACAAAATCAGCCACGCTCAAAAAGATGCCACCAGCGTGTCAAGAAAGAGACCTCGAATGGAAAATAATGCTAGTAATCACTCTAATTCAAATATTGAAGTCATCCAATTGCCACAGACACCAGCATTAGAGAAAGAAACCTTGTCCAGTGCAATCAATGATATGGTGATTTGGGATCAATGTGTAGAGGATAAGGAGCAATTGGACCTTGTTATGCCAAGTCCCTATCCAGAACCTGGAAGAGGAATGTTGGGTTCCAGTGGGGAGAAAGCAAACCTGGTCTTGTGCCCTTGTGAAGAAAGAATAAGTGGGAATTCAATTTTGTGCCCTACTGGTGGTGAGAAAGAAAATGATAGCTTAGGACCATTCTGCGAAGGCATCGACAATGAGATGCTGCGTCTTAATGAGGTCATGGACAAAGAGTTGCTGAATCCAGCAGGGGATTCGACTTTAAATGAGGAGGGACAAAATGGCCACATGGTTCATAGCGAGGAGAAACAGAGTTGGGTTTTGAGTCCAGACAAAACAGTAAACATTTTTGAGTCCATCGGTAATTTGAGCTCAAATATAGAGACTGGTGACTGGTACTCGTGTTCTTCGAAAAGTACGTCGGGTTTTGATGGTGGTGGGGTTGATTGGAACTGGGGTGATGTGATAGGAGGACACGTTGAAATAGGAGATGAGATCGGAGAAGAGAATATGCTATCTTGGTTGTGGGAGAGCGATAACGGGGAAGGGGAAACTCAAAAACAAGATGAGGTACTGGACTATGAGAAGCAAAATGCCATGGCTGCTTGGCTGCTTTCTTGAGTTGGCCTTTTTGTCCATTGGTCTACCACAAAGTTGATCGTAATATAGCTAGAAGACAATGTTAGAAAGATTATGCTTGGCTTGATGTCATCCTTTTTCTGTATGTGGAAATTCAATGCGAAAGCAGTAGTTAGGACTTGTTTTATTAGTTATTAGCTAAGCTTTTAGTAATTTGATTGACGGGGGAAGGTTTCTTTCAATTCTTCTGTCAGTTTTTTCATCTAGGCCCTCCTATAGGTCCACCTGTAATTTATATGTGTGACAGTAACGATATATAAAGCTGAAGATGACCACGGACAGTCACACATCATATTTTTAATTAAGTTGATGTTGTCTTTCAACATATGTTAAATTTTTAATTTATTTTTCGACAAAATTTTTAAACTAATTATCAAAATTAATCATATGATTTTTACATGAAAACTTTTAATTTGTCTTATTCAAGTACATAATTGACTCAATTAAAAATATAACAATAGATTGAAGGATTACTTTATTGTATAAAGATTTATTGAGTCAAGATGAATTTTTTTTATATGGTATCGAAACTTCTTTGATCAAATGATAATGAATTTAAATTTTACTTTGTTTATTATATATTTCTTTTAAGTATAATGGCAAATAAATACCGCAGACTCATGTATTTAGAAGTATGAAAGGGAACACATAGATGATTAATTACTAAGATTACTTTAATAAATGATGTGGTAGTATACATTGGTGGTTCATTGATTATATATTCTATTATGATTGTGTCACTAAATGTTATAAGATTCATATTCCATGATTTGAAAATATTTCTTATAACAAATGCCACGTCGCTTGAAAGTAGTGTTTACTTGTTAGAAGATTTTCAAATTTTGTGGAAAAAATTTCTAGAAAACATGAAACTGAAGTAAACGCATCTACTAATCGAAAGAAAAACAAATTTATTGGAAAGGCGTGTTTTCTAATTCTCCAATTCTCTAAAAAACATAAAAATGGTTGTTTTTCAAATTCTCCAAAATAAAAAGTAAAGGTTTTGTTTGGTTAACCTAATGTTTTATGTCATTTCTTTTTATTATTTCTAAGGTAAGCCAAAGGAGGTCCTTATTTTCTATTTTGGGTAACTGTGCATGGTAAACATGTTTTTCTTAATTTTCTATGAAAAAATATTGGAAAAAACCAAGTTGGTGACCCTATGTTTGCATCATATGGACAAATTGAATTTTGTGTAAATAATTTTATTAATTCGATTATATAAGCATTACATTTAGATAATTCAATCCAACAATCTTGGATCATTAATAAAAATCCAATTATTATATGAAAACTTGTCGAGTTAAAAAATATTAGCCATGTGGATAACAACTTTGACCAAGTTATTCAGCTTTAACTTTTTAAGAATTTTTAAAAATATTAAAATAAACTAAAAAATTTACTAGTTATTATCTTATTATTTTTCTTCAAATCTATGATTGAGTATAAGAAATTCCACGACTGTCTTGTGAATCTTTTATAAACTCTCTGTCATGTGATTCTCTAATAAATCAAAATTTAATTAAAGTATCTAACTCAAAATTATATGGTGCTCAGAGTTCTGTTAACAATTGCAGACTTGTAGTTTATTGGATCAGATTATTTAAATATGATAAATATAGAATTAAATTTATAAAATTATTTATATATCGTTCGATTTGCTAATTTGATACGAATAGAGGGTCTTCAACCAGATTTTTTTTTCAAAAATATTTTAGAACGAAGAAGGAAACTAAAAACTATTTTATAAAAGTAAACACAAAGAATATCCCTAGCATCAACTAATTGTAAATGAGTTAATTGCATCAACTAATTTTCAAATTATCTTGACCTAGCTCCTAATTTTCCATGAATCTTTTCTCTCTCTCTCTCTTTTACCTATGGAATTAGATTGAAAATAAAAAAGAGAAATCATGGATTGGTTTTTCTGATTCAATTGTTCTTTTCTTCGCAGAGCTTCATCTTGCTTCTCAGTATGAAAGCAAGTGAAACACTAGGCCACAAAACTTATGTATACGCTCGTCCCATCACGCAGAGACGTTTGTATGAGACAGTAAAACAACAATGGCATGGTTCGTTGGAATTCTTATGTTTTTGCCTTATATGGTTTTTTTTAGGTTTCTTTGCCCTTCCTTGGTGAAGATTGGGTTTTAGACACCTTCTCATGCCGTTGAGGATTGAAATTGCGGTTTTTTCCTCTTTGAACGGGCTTTTAAATTTGAAGTCTTCACCTATTGTTTTTAATGATCTTATTTTCCGTTTCATTTCTATTTTATTTAATCATAATAGCTCAATTTTACTATAAAAATATATTATTGAATAATTAATAATACAATTATTGACAACCGCACAAATTGTCCGGTAATAACAACATAAACTGTTGTTCTGAATTAAGTATAAATTGAAAGCTGATAAAAATATTCTCATCACAAAAATCATATCATATTTTTATATCATTTGATCAAAAAAAATTAACTAAAAATAGATTGAAAATTTACATAAATCACAAAAATATAATTAATTTATTTTAAAATATAATTATACATTAAAAACTCAATTCATTACTGCATAAAAACATACCAGACTAATTTTTTTTTTTTCATAAAAATACCTTAGTCATTAATCAATGCTACATATTCTCATATGCCTAATTTTTGGGTCACCCTCCAGCAATAAAGCTGGGGGATTAATTTTGAGCAGTTTGTAATAAAAGCGACAAAAAAGCTTGTAGATTAACTTTGAGAGCAATTGTGACGAAAGTGACCGTATCATGAATAGTAAGTTCGTGGCTGTGAACAGGGGACCAAGCTAATATAAACAGGCATTTCAATACACATGCAAAATCAGGAGCCCTCCAGCAATAAAGATGGGGAGATTCATGTCGAGAGCATTTCTCATGAAAGTGACCTTTATCATAATGGTAAGTTAACAGCTCTAAGTTGTAGACCAAATTAACAGGGGCTTTTCTAACACGTGTTCCATAGAATGTATTAATTTTTATACAAAATAATATTAAATTATGGATTAAAATTTCACTCAATTATGAAAATAAATTTACTAAATTAAAATATTATATTTATCAATTATATGTTAGAAAAATCCAATTAATATACAATGGAATTTCAATGTACATGTAAAATTAGAAAACAAAATTGTTTTCCTTTTTCTCCCCTAAATTTAAAAATAAAAATAAACAATTAAATGGTTGAGTATGCTACAGACTCAGATGCATAATATTACGTTGTCATAAACTTAGGAAAATCATACTCGTAATTTTATTAGAAAAATAATAATCTTATTAATATCAAATTGATAAAAAGAGGGTAGTTTTTGGGCCACGGCAAATGCATAATGGCTTCTTCTTCTTCTTCTTCTTTTTTAGCCCACGGCAGTCTAGCTTTAGGTTTTAGAGGTAGTTTTATCGATATATGATATATTTTTTAAAAAAATTAATAAATCCTTCTCAATACATTCAATTTAATACTTATTTTGTAGATTTAGCCAAACAGCTAGGTAACATGCTCGTATTCTGTTAGCGAGCGAGACTTAAATTTTGTTTCGCACTCCATTTACTACTTGCGTAACGACAACGAAAGTGCAAAAGATCGTGCACGCAATTTTTTTTTCTCTCTTTTTCCAATCATCCAAAATTAGACCATGGGAATGGAGAATCACTAATCAAGGACGGTGGACGAGTGCTCCAGCACCTCCTCGCAAACTTGCTTGACCTTTTAGTTTCTTTTATTCTTTTTTTTCCTTGTAATGAAAATGCTCTGATTTCTAGAATCCACGTTATCTTTGAAAAGGTCAAGCAAGTTTATATATTGATTTTTAATCATGATACGTCGTCATGCTTACCTGCATCTTTCGTGTTTGCATACATGGCATCCATTGAAGCCAAAAAATAAAATCAAGAAATCAGAGAGGAAGATCGGCATACAATGATCCATGTGCTAAAAGCTTGCAAAGGCAGGGCCCATCTTCATCGACGTTCATTAAATTCGTCGGTAACATGGTGGGGAGTTCTCATGGCACCAAGAAGGCATGCATATACTTTTTTTTTAAAAAAAAAGATAATTGCAGTAGAAGTATACCAACTTTTATTGTTTTCTCAATCTAGAATATGTATTTTGATTTTTTTCATTAGAGTATATCGATATTTTTAAAATTATCAATTAAATATTTTTTTATCTAATTTATGTTAATTTTTATGTTATTTGATTACGTGTCATTTGTACTATATTGTTAAATTATGATTTTGCATTCTCATTATTGAAAGAAATTGTCTTTATCAAATTATTTTGTCAATTTCTACTTTTTTTTATTGTAAATATCCAAATTATTTTTATATTTAAAAAGCAAAAGATGAAAAAATAATATATGAGAAAAAATTTCTTCAAAAAATAAAATATCAAAATCATAATTTAGTAGTATGAAATAAAAGATATTGTTAGAATACACAAAGTGCATAGAAATTAAAAAGGAAAAACAAAGGAAATGAAAGCTAACATCGACTTTCTATAACGCGAGATCATTCTCTCAACCTTTCTTTCCTCACACACAAGATGCCTTTATATATAGGTCTGTGAGGAAGAAGGAAACATAAAACAAGAAAAACATCCTAACCGAAAAGAAAAACAAAAGAATAAGAGAGAAACGAAAAACATGAGGAATACACCGACTAACATCTAACCAATTTTACTAACCAACGAAGTTTCGTTATAGCCATAATGGCTATATTTTTAAATGTTTCTAACACGTGTTGTTTTCTTGCTTAATATTCCCCTCGAGAGGAGCATGTATGTCCGCAATGCTCGTCTTGGTGAGAAGAAAATTGAAATGAGAAGGTCGCAATGACTTGGTAAATATGTCCGTCACTCGTATGCCGATTGTGATGAACTCAAGTTTAACTATCCCAATGAAGGACTTTCTCTCTAATAAAATAACAATTAAGCTCAATATGCTTGGTTCTCTCATGAAAA